ACGGTGCTCATGAACTTTGCTGATGTTCAGTGCGAAGCGCAACTCCTCCAGTACTTCTTGCCAGAAGGGCTTCTAAAAATAACATCCGAAAATTTACGACAGTTCTGGTACCACACAGGTTAGGAATTTTTTTTCTCAAAAGCGTACAACTAATCCCGTTTTATCTGAGGAGAATATTGCTTGGGGAATCGCCAAAATTCGACTCAACCCGACCACGCAATGTACACCCGTTCCTAGATTTAAGCACATTCTGCGGGATTTATTTCTTTGTCCAGATGAGGTTTCCGATATAGCTGCTGTTCGCCAAGCATCAAGTTTTTTTGCTGAGTGTAAAAAGCCGAGATAGTCCCCCTCGTTCCCTTCTCCCATCCACCCATAATTCTCGTCCGTGGTTTAGGTCTCGAGAGTAGTGGGAAGGGAGGGAGCAGGTTTACTCACTGGGAAGAAATGGAAACGACGTGGTTTATTGAGGGTAGTGGTCTCCCCTGTGGGTTTCTTCACGCTCAGCGTGGGACTTAGTACGAAGGGGAAGATCGCAGTCTTGGACGCGACATTAGGAGCTTACCTACATTACGCTCTTCACCAACTCGAACTGAAAAGTAAGTACGTATTGAGCGACTAACTTCTCTAGGCACTAAATTGCACGCTGAACATAAAAAAATCCCTCCTCCATAGAACCTATCCTTCGATTCGTACCCCCAACGAATGTCTTTCCAGGCAATAACCCGCCCTACCTTGCCGGTCCTTACGACTTCTCTCCACCTTACAGTCCGCACTCTTGTCCCCAATTCCTACCTCCAGGCTGAGCCTCAGCTCCTTCACATCAATATCTCAGCCCCTTTCCCGCCGCTGCTACTCCGTGAGTCCCAGTTCAGCATTCGCACTCCTTTCTCTCTCCCCTTTCACTCCATACCTGTGTTACTATCCAAAGGGGCCACAAGCGCCCCTCAGGAAAAATGCTATCAATGAACTTAAGCTAGCAGTGACTGGTTGGGGATTTTTTTGTAGGATGAAATTTGCGGGAGTTCACTGAGACTTCCTCACCGGTACCAAATAGCAGTTTGAAATAGTTTTGAAAGTTAGTTCAGTTTTCCTGCTAATTAAGGGGGACTGTGCTAGACTCAGTTTTAAGTACCGAGAAAAAACTAGTGAAGACGAAAATGAGGTGTGGTAAGCGATAACTGTAGGCCGTAGATCATCAGACCTGTAAAACTTAGTCCTTTTAGTGTGTACATTGAAGGGAACCACCGATTGTATGTCATGATTTCACACAGTACTGCAAGATAGTGCGTAGACCTCGAGCGGAAGTTCTCGAATTGAGCATTAGGATTTGCAGGCAGCTACAGTACCTGTTCATCGTGTGCAAGCTGCCGACTACGGATACAGAATTCCACGATAACAGTGCAGAATGCGAAAATCAAGCCAAGACCGAGGATGATGAATAGTCCGGCAACATTATGCATATTCAAGGCTACACGTTGCTCGCTAACGGAAGAACTGGACCGTGCGCATGGCGCACCCCTGAAAAAGAAGATAATACGAAATTGTTGTATCGTTTGGAGAAATTTTATTCAACGTCACTCACAAAGATGTGCAGCTCAGGATCGAAAAGTGTGGTGTAGTTTCGCTAAACGTACAGAAGCATCGCTGGGACATCACTAACATGGGATACGCATACTGATTACGTTGCCCAGACTAGTTCGTGGTGTCTGAAGTCAAAAAGTCGAAAATGTAATGGCGGCAGAGCGATTAATTGGAGAGCTTCATATCCAAAACGCAACTCTTTTTTTTATCTGATTATAGAACATCAGAAAGAAATATGCACCCAGCCTATGAGACCGAAATTTTTGGATTCTAAAAGATGCTCCGAATTCTCAAGATCGGATACTTCTGGATA